ATTGTCTTACACTTGTCTGATTTGACAACCTTGAGTTCGGGAATACAATTCCTCCCTCATGTAGGTTTAGTCTTGCTGTAATACAAGTTTAATCCCATTTGGCAATTGTAAGGGTTGATGTGAAGTTTGGTAGATTCAAATTTGCTTTGGCGAAAAATCTTCCAAGTGTTGTTGGTGTTTCACAAGCTTCAATTTTAGGAATTTATATAATAAATTTTCAAATAATATTTTGATTTATAATATGTTTAATTAGATAATAATAAAGAAAAATATCTTTTCATTTACCTTTAAACATTTCTCTTTTGTTTATATTTTTTATATACTGATTGTATAATGAAAAGTAACTCTCTCATATTTTTTATCTTACCTTACTCGTATATCATTCGATTCAAATTCAAAATTTTTTAATTTCAACGAAAATAAATTACCAATGAACAACTTAAATTGTTGGCTTCTCTTTTGTTTATTTAAATAAATATTAATATATTTAATTTTAAAAAAATAAAGGGAGGGAAGGCGAGGAGAAGGGAGGAGAGGGAAGAGGGAAGAAAAGAACTTTTTTTTACTAGTTAAATTGTAATCTTTAAAAATATTATTATTTAATTGATTAAAAAATTCACCCTTTCTCTCCCCACCTCTCCAACCCAAATATAATATAAAAAAAAAAGTATTTCCAACATGTGCCTCATAATATAATAAATATATTTTTTGTTATAAATTTATATTAAAAATATAAAAATTGACCTTTAATTTGTCTTTTATTTAATTAAATTTATTCAATTAACACTAATATTAAAATTAATGTCAAGTTTTATATTTTTCTATATGTTCATGACAAAAAAAAAAGCTTCAACTTCAACATGAAGCGCAAAAAAGTATCTTTATCAATACGAATGCATGAAAAAGCCCCATTTTCTCTAAAACTTACTTTGTTTTGAACTTAAATTTCTAAGCTAAATAAGTTTTAGAGTTAGAATTTATAATAGTTAATGAATCTTTTTGTGGTCTAATGTCCCGTAAAAAACTTTAATATGGTGGTGACAATCTACATTAAACTTAGGCTGAATTTTTTCTAGAATGTTTTTTAAATTTATTTTTCATTTGCTATGCTTATTGAAAAATTTATTTTTAATTTATTAATATTAATTTTAATATAATTACGATTTAGGGAGATAAACGCATAACAGACACGTATGCATAATGTTATAGGAGGGAAATATCCATATGATGGATTAATAAAAGCAAATTCTGATGAGGAGTGCTAGGTTCATCTTTAAAGTTTTAAAATAAAAAAAAATTAAATTTAAGATTATTTAAATTTCTGAAAAAAAATACTCAATTACAAACCCTTCAAACCCAAACCTTAAAGTACATCTAAGCCCTTTTCTTTTTTTAAAAAAGATGGGTTAACTACATAGGCCCATATCAAAATCAAGACCAGCTAAATCCCGAAAAATATTCAACCACAAACTTTGAAAGCCCTAAACTTAAAAAATCAAACATTCAAGCAAAATATACATAAATACGATGCATGTAAATCTCCTAAGAGGTGGAAGAAATGATTGCAAACGTCTGACTCTAGGCTTGAAATCTCAACTTAAAATCATACATTACAAATTTTATTTAACAATTATAATCTTTTACATTCTTATACTTAAAAGAAACAATTACATATTAATTAAGATTATTAGCTACCAACCTCCCATCTAATTCTAGCAAAACAGAGGGGAGCGGAACCTTAGCAGCCACTCCTCTCTTCCATCTCTTGTTCCCACTCTTTCTTCTTTTTTCTCTTTTTGATTCTTTGTTTCTCTCATTTTTTCCATGATTTTTTAAGGATTTTTTAGGGTCATTGTCTCCCTTTAAGGCTGACTTACGTAGGAGTTTATTCTTTCAGACATAGTTT